TACAAATCTCTTACACATTATTTATTGATTGTCGTCGAAATAACGCTCATATTATATCGATTAATATATTTATAGCGATTTATATCGTTTATAGCGATGTAAAGGCATATTTAACGACCTGTCGTCAAAACGACCTTTATATTGCTACAATATATATATAGTATGTCGTCAAAACAACCTTTATATTGCTACAATATATATACATGTCGTCAAAATTACCTTTGTATAATTGCAAAGTGTACGTTTTACGTATAGTGTCGTTGAAACTGCCTAACCATCAAAGAAGTCGTCGAAACTACCACTTTGTACTTTTTTTTTACATAGCTCAAAAATTAAACAGAATTTTTGAAAACGATTTGTTGTACGTTACTTCTGGGATATTTATGTGTATTTTGATATAAAATCTGGAAATAGTCGTCAAAACTGCCCCTGGACATATATATATATATATATAAAGCAAACTATGTTTTGTATAAATTTGTTTACTGGTTACACTTACTATAACTATAAGACGTTTATGTTAGGTTGTACGCATTAGAAAGTAATTAACAAACATGTATTTATACTTATAATATAATTTTAACATGTACCTTATGAATATAATTAAGATTATATAGCAAAGAAAGTACATAATTCTTCATATTGCACGAATAGATACACCAACTAATATTAACATCGCATCACTGTTAATGTTGGTTGATGAGTTTACTTGTATAATATGAAGAAATTATTTCTTTGTTATATACTCTCCTCATTCCATTATAAATTATAAGTCACACTACATATATATAAATAAGTCGATGTTTTTATTACTTTTTAATGTGTGAAATTTAGCATAAGCATCTTGTAGTTAAAGTGAGTGTGGCCAATAAGAATAAATAATGTTCCTCTTAAAATGAGAGTTGAGATATTCTACGTATAAGAGGAATTTTATTCTTTATATAAGAGGAATTTTATTTCTGCATATAAGAGGAATTTTATTCTGTACATAAGAGGAACTTTATTCTTTGTATAAGAGGAATTTTTTCCTGTATAAATGTATGTAAGAGGAATTTTATTCTTTTTTTGAGAGGAATTTTAATTCTGTATATGAAAGAAATTTTATTTTTTGTATAAAAGGAATTTTATTTCTAAGTATAACAGAAATTTTATATTAACGGCAACAAGATTCTTATAACATTCTTATAATAATCGATTGTGGTTGGTCTATTTCTTACTGCTTACGCTTAGAACCTTATTCTTGCAGCCATTGTAGATGGGCCATCGCTATGGCGAAGTTGAACATGTCCAACTTTTACCGCTCGCATCAAGCGAATAGCCGAGCGACTTTAGCAGCAGCGTCAAAAGAAACTCCGTGTAAAGACGGTAGCGAATAAATCAGCGGGCAGCTAGCGAATATTCAGCACACTGCGCGTGCGCGAGACGTGCATACGGCCGGCAAACGATCGTAAGTTCGTGTTCTCAGTGCGGATAATATTGTCTTAATATTGTTGCTGCTTATTATCAAAATATAATGTCGGTAAAATTAACCAGACTGAGGAATAATGATATAATATTCCTCGAAGTTTTGGAAAATTACCCAATAATTTGGAATATTAAATTAAAAGAATATTTCAACAAACCCATGCGAGATGGGCAGATAGCCATGATGCAAGCACGACAGCAGCTTGAACTATGTCATTCCTTGACGCCATGATCCTTTTAACTGACGTTCCCGCAAAATTCTCCTTAAAATGCTAGTGACTGAACGCTGTTTATCAGCATCGTGTAGTAGATGCTCTGGCGCTAGCGACTTTGTCAGCCAGAAATTCGCTCTAGGAAAACGAGCAGCTAGCGACAAAAGAACCCAGCGTCAAAAGTAGCATCGTGTTTACACCCTAAAGGATGATAGACGAACCCCGCGCTTACTCAGATCACGACAAGACCGCAGATACGAAATTTGTATCACCAGATCCGAACCATTAACCTCAAACCCAGCAGATGTATCGGCGCCACCTTCAACTCAGCAGAGTGTTATAGAGCGGTGGTTCGAATACAAATCATAAGAAAAATCGCTCTAGGAAAGCCTAGAGAGGAGGATTGGGAGACAGAGTAGTAATATCACGGAAGACAAAGTCGAACGAACAGATATCGCAATCAGCGTCAGGCCAAACGAAGGCGCGAAGCTTCCCATCGCGTCCGATTATATCCCCTGGTAGCCGAATCCTGACTGCGAGCAGCGAAATCGTGAGGCGTGCCACGTAGCGGCCGCGGTCGGTACCAGTCGCCACACGCGGGGCGCCGGCCGGAGTCCCACGCGCTCGCCAGCCAGCTTTCCGCATGGCAGCACGTGCCATACGAAACATTACCCATTTATCTCTTCTTATAATTTTGTTTCGTTAATTTTACGATTATTTGTAAAATTTACTATTAATTTGATTGTCGGAATAAAAGGAAAGGTATGTAATAAATATTCTGTCTACTAATTGAATCAAAAGGGACACTTAAAACATGCCCTTTTGTTTCAATATATATCGCTAGAATTTTGAACATGCGATTTCTGGGATATACTTATTAGCTAAAGTAGAATCAAAATTAGATACAGCCTTTACTTTTGTTTTGCAAGGTTTCTTAAAGTTTTACTTTATCTCCTTTTTCTATTCTTAATTTCAGATATTCGTTCTTCTTAAAGTTTATAATATGTATTTCTACCTTGCAAGTATCATCTGTAATTAAGCCGCAGCTTATGACTTGTTCAATTTGTTATTATGTATAGCGGTAGTAGAAAATTGGTTTTCACGAATCCTTCCAATATTATAACATATATAAATAAATATGTAATAATTACTAAAATTAATTGTATTTTTGTATTAACATTGTAATATACATTGTATTATACATTGTATTAACTAAAACATCTTTAAGTATTTTTATTAATACAATATATAAACAATACATAAACTGTTTTGAATACCCAGGAAACACAAGGTATCATCGATGTTATAATGTCAGCTGCATATATGTTACGTAACTGTTACTTTGTTATATAACAATGCAATTGTTATGTAACATACTATATGATTTAGTTGGCATTGTTACATCGATAATACTTTGTGTTTACTGGATATAAATAAAAATATATGCATATAAGATTTCCGTTAAGCTTACGAATTATTAGACTTATATACAAAGTTTAAGATTATTAGAATTAGATTGTGACAAATTAGATTGTGACTGAATTTAGTATATACATATAATAACGTAAGATGTTCACCTTGCGCAGGCACTTTGCTAAGATTTATTCAAGATGTTATTTTAGTATACTTCCTAGGTAACATTCGGGAGATTTTAACCGTTGATCATTGTATATTAAAAAGTTCTATATCGCTCAATATTTCTATGTAATGAAACATTAAATCTATGTAAATGATGTTAAATCTATGTAAAAAACCAAACTCATAATCAAAAATAAGTAATAAACCCTAAATAAAAACTAAAAATGTCTATATAATAAGAAAGAAAATGTCTGTGTAATAAAAAATGTTATTTCTTGTTCAACATTTTGGTCTCATGATCGGAGACTTGGTGCCTGAGGTAGAAGAAGCTTGACAGTTATACATCTGTTTGGTTCAAATTTTAAATATTGTTATTGCTCCATTTGTAGACATAAATTTAGACACATATCTTGCAACTCTGATTGCTGAACATCATGAATTATATTGTAAATTATTTTCCAAGGCATTGAAACCCAAACACAACATCCTGGTTCATTATCCTAGAATCATGAATTATATTGGTTCTCTTATTCATGTATGGTCAATGCGAATGGAAGGAAAGCATCGATCAGTGATAAAGCAAGTAGCTAAGGCTATGACTCCGTCGGAAAAATATATAACTTCTGTCGGAAAAAGCTGCCACTAACAATCGCTAAAAAATAGTTATTAAGTCTCTCAGCTCGTTTTTTGTCTAAGCGGGGCTGTCAACGAGACGTAGTTTTTCATTTCAAAGAAAAGATTCTGACTGATTGCTATAACTATAATGATTTCCAATACCTTCTTACCTTCTGGTATTGAGGACTCTGTAGTAATTAAAGAAGCAACTATGTATCTTCAACACTCAGTATAAAAGAAATATGGTGCTTGCGATAGACAATGAAAATGAATTGCCTCTCTTTGGATTATTGCATTGGATTGTAAAATCGCAACTGCTTTCCTGTTTTTTCTTTTCTTTTTTACATTTCATATTAATGTTGGTATATATAGACAAAATATATAGAAAATTATTTTTGAATGTAAAAGATATGACATATACAGTATACTACATATTATCAGATTGTTAATAAATAGATTGTAATTTGAATTGGTATTTTCAAAGTACGCTTTTTCTATTGTATTATAAATGTGCAATATTGCTCATTGTTAAATAAAAACGTTACAATATACTAAAATATTAATATTATAGCTATAAGTAGATTCAGGTGGGAAATAAAAATCTAAAACACAACTGTGATCAGACTTTTTGTAAAATATTTATTACGTTACAAGATATAAAATAAGTATACTAAGTTTGTTTCACCTGATTGAAATTAAATTATAAGACAGATATATTTAGTAGAACATCCTATACAATATCAAAGAATATGCTTCAAATATGTATACATAATGGAGAATGTAATTACTTGTTCGCATATTAATATTTCTATTCGTTTTACTTTTACACGACATAATAAAACTCATCTCACCAAACGATCGCTTTGCAATCACGCTACCACATTTTTTAATCCCCAATTCGTCATATGCGAACAAAAAAAATTTATAAAATGTAACAGTGGCCACATTCAGCAGAAAAAACTGCTTACTAAGCGCTTAGTGATTATTATCTATGATTGGAGTATTCTTTTACATCTTTGACGAATCCAGGGGAATGAACCAGGAACGATAATCACTAAGCGCTTAGTAAGCAGCTGTTTTTGCTGAACGCGGCCAGTAACACTCCATTAGCATTGAACTTGACATGCAAACTGTTTTCAAAAACGTATTTATTGATCAGTTTATTGTATGTCCAGCAGCAGTAACTTTCCTTATTTTCAGCGCACCCTTAAAAAGAACGTGTATATCATAAATATCTTACTTTCAATTAATTTTTCTTATTTTCAAATATATTCCACCCATTGGCGTTAATAAAAACGCTTTAGGATCATTCGCGTAAGGTAATTGAGTTTTTTCACATATTTCAATGCTATACTTTCGCAATATCTTTACAAGTCCCACTTTGATTTGATACGCAGCGAAGCGAGAACCTGCAAACCGTAAACAGCCATTGAAACCATTTGAAACTGAGCCAACCTAATGCTTTATCTTTTTCTCTAAATAGTATTGAGAAAAATCTACTCCACCACACCGATGCAATTTCTCGGACCGCTGCCAAAAGGAAGATAATACATTGTATTCCTGTTTTGCATAACTTCTCCCTTGAATCTCTCTGGATCAAAAATATCTGGATTCGGATAGATATTTGGGTCTCGTTGAATCGCGTAAACCGGTATCCATACAGGTTGACCTTTGGGTATATTAGTTTTAACACTGTCGAAGGTATAACTCGATGTGGACTGCCTCATCAGAAATGTTGCCGGTGGATATTTCCGCAAAGTTTCTACGCACATTAACGTACATTGAATAATGAAAAAAAGTGCACAAGTTAGAAATATATATGTATTTATACTAAATCTAATTTATATTTGACTCAAAGAACCAGCCATCTCTACCGTGTATCAAATAATATAACAACATTTACCACCTCTTTCAATTTCCTTCACAAACGACATACCTCTCAAAACTTTATCCAAGTAATTCATCTTCTTGACATTGTCGTATGTCAAAACATCCTCATCTTTCGCACACTCTTGCTCAATTTCTTCGCGTAGTGTATCCTGTATTTTATGATTTTGCGCCAATTCGTAAAGGGCATGGGTCATGGCCGACGATGAGCTTTCAAAACCAGCGAGAAAAAAGATGAATGCTTGAGAGGCGATTACACTGTCGGTCAATTCTAAAATATATTTGTACTGAATTAATAAATCCGTTTCTTTTGTCAACGATTCATTATTACAAATAATTCAACGTTCAATTCATCGTTTAAATAATTAAAAAGTCTTGTACATATTATCAACAACAAAGATTACTTAGTCATGATGTGACAACACCTTGCTTATTCGATTTTATTTATTTTATCATATATTATTATCTCTTGTCTCAACTTGTACTTGTAATTTTCCGTGTAACATTATCTTAATTTGTGCTATAAGAAACATAAACATATACAATCTTTTTCTCTTTATATTATCTAAATAATCGATATTTACCGATGTCGATTTTGTCTGGATGCCTTTTTAATTCGCGCAACACATCGACGAAATCGTGTCTAATAATATTGTTCCTTTCTCTGTACTCGATATTCTCCATGATAATGCGTGTAAAAAATTTCGTTACCTTCGTTTGTGGTAAAACATAACCGAGAATATCAAACAACTGTGGTGCATTTTGCTTGATTTTCAGTCGTATCAAGTTGTACCATTTCGGGTCAAATACTTCTCTTCCCATTTTGAGAAATTCGCTCTCCACATCCGACAGAGAATTCGTATCGATACCGAAAGCACAGCTACTAATAACATCAGTCGTATATTTGGCCGTTAATGCGCAACACTCTATGATCTCGCTCCTGCTCACCAGTTTTTCCACATATCTTTCCAAGTGTTCGGAGCATTTCAATATTAGAAGGAACATTTCCCTCAGCTTGCCCGATGTAAAAACAGGAGACAACTTTGTCCTTAAGGGTCTCCATCTTTTCTCCTCCAAAGCTACTAGATGTTGCGATAACGGATCAGCCTGAAACAAGTGTCTCGAATTAAATTTAACTATTTTCTACACACGTACAAATTATTGCGTTTATTTATACACAATTGCGTTTAATTATACAATTTTTCTTCCAGAAACCCAACATAAATTTCACGAGTTGTAACATTTCCCATTACCTAATGTGCACTGTTCGATACAATGTTCCGCATATTTTCCACAAAGACCGATTCTCCATAGATGTTACACTTACATCGGATATTGCATAACTGACAGCGATCTTACCCTTTCGTGAGTAGTAAATCCTCTTTCGGGAAAATTTGAGAAATCTTTGATAAGAATATCCTTGATTAAATCTGGATCTTTTACGATAAGGACAGGAGTCCGCCTAACGAATATACCAATCATAGGCTCATCTTTGTAGACGTTACATATTTCCATCAAATAATTACACATTGCCTTCCTAGCGAACATAACGTCCTTAACATTACCGAACAATGGTATTGGTTGTGGACCGTGAATGCCACGTGACTTCCAAAAGCCAAAGGTTGATGTAAAGTAGTAATAAAGTGCGAGGATTACGGCAACGATGCCATATAATATTCCCAATGATTCCATATTCTTGCTTTGGAGACCAGTCCTTTTGTTGTTCGTTGATTAGAAATTATCTTTATCGAGGAGAAAAATAATATTATATATAAGTAAAAATTACTCTCTGACGTGAAATTAATAAAAATTAACGTCCTTTATTAAAATATTAAAATATAGTAAATTATTAAAATATAGTAAAGATATATAAAAGATATATACATTTATTCATATGATTGTATCCCATTCTCTCAGGATACAGGATGTCCCATCGGAAATTGCTGAAACTAATCAACTGTCATTTTCGAATGTATTCAGTTGTTATAAAAACAAAAATTGCATCGAGAAGATAAGAGTCTACAGTTTTTAACGGGGAAACACTCTGTATATTATATGTACATCTACATATATTGTTATTTGTTCACGATGAATTAACTGCAAAATATATATTTCACGTTAAATATAACATACTTTCTTCATTGTTTTACCATCGCCACGAAAATTGTCGCGCTGTTACATCATAGCTACATTACGTTTCGTTTCTCAATAAACAGCTGCAAACGAACACACGCCGTCGCACTTCTCTCAACGCTATTACGCTTATGGAGCGTACTTTTTAGATTTGGTCCACTTCCGACGTTTTCCTACTGAAAGCATCGTTCCAATTTTATCAATTTTATAATTAAATGCCGATGACGGAACGACTCTTTCGAAAGCAAAACGCCCATATTTAATCCAGTTTGTCGGAGGATTCAACCTGCACGTTGCTGCATCCGACATATTGTATGCTACATTCAATGTCCAATAAGAGATTTCGGTTTTAGAGTTTCTACCTAAGAAAATTTTTGTCTCCGAAAAATGAATTTTCATCTATTGGTTATCCGATGCTATATGTCGCATATTGAACGCGGTATGAATCCTCTATAATATTTTACTATATACGACACATTTGTTGGATACGTCGATTATGCCGCCGCATAGAACATTTCTAAAATGTCCAACAAAAAATGTTTAGATCCTTATAAAGAAATCACATTGCGCACGGCATCCGATTCAGACTCCATTTTAACGAAATACCTGTTCTTCACTGTGACAAGAAGTAATTAAATTATTCGTCTTATACTATCTTCTACAATTACATTTATTTAACAAATTTCTTCAACTCTTACCTCTCTCTCAAAATTTCCTGACAACTTCTCTTGAAAGCACACATGCAGTAATTACAGTTACTGATTTGTTGAAAAGAGAAGAGACACAAAGATCGTATTCTCTCTTCGTTACATGTCGACCTTCGCGTTCTCTCCACGGAATTTATATGAATGCACGGCTAGGTATATATGTCGTTGTGTTAGAAAAAATGGCATTGCCTCAGCAAACGTATAGGAAATGCATTGACCGCTAGGTAGCATTTAGCAAATGATCTTACAACAGTTGCGAAACTACTTTCTCTAAATTTCTTTCACTAAACTGCTTTCACTGCGCTACTCCCTTTGCTACTTTCTCTGCTGTAGCAGGATTCTATAACTCGTTAACGATAACGACATTATCGTTGCGAAAGTATTAAGTAAGTATAATACAATATATGGCAGAAAAGATGCTCAATGACGCATCATGCTAGTGACATTGTCGTTATGAAGTTACAGAATCCCGCCTCTGAACGGTTGACACAATTTAGAAAAGTTTCCAGATAGAAAATAATTCCATCTTTTTTTTCTGTTTTTTTTAGATAACACGGCAGAAATGAAAACGAGAGTAATTGAATTATTGAAACCCCCGATAACCCTCCCCCCCCCCCTTTTATCCCCCGGATCGTTTTATAATGCAAGGCAGCGATAATGCCTTTCTCTTTCGATTAAAGTATTTTTGTCCTAGCGCACTATGGCAACATCAAGCATAGCGTTAATCCGATTATGAATACCACCTCCAATTCTAAGAATGTCGGAAATATCGCAACATCCTAGATTGCAATATCTTTTGAATATTCAAGATAATATATTATTATATGTATTACGAAAATATTCAAATGTAATCTGTTTGTTTTCGAAGAAGCTCTAAACTGGTGCAATAAGTTGAAATGAAACAAATATACATTCGATCGCTATAAAAATTTATTATTTGTAGCTAAAATGTGTGTGTGTGTGTGTGTGTGTGTGTGTGTGCGTTTGACTGCACTAGCTTGTCTAGCTGTCTTTCCCTCTTTCCTACATCACAGTCACTGCTAAATATACGTTTCTCTTTTCAAATTTCAAAAGTATACATTGATTACACAGCTACAAAAAACAGACCTTAGGTCCGCTCGTTTTCGAAGAATTTCTGAACTAGCGCAATTGCCTAGAGTGAAACATTCTTATATACTTACGTTCACTCCAATTTATCACTAGTGTGCATTAACTCAAAAGTTCCCCGAAAAGAAACAGACCCACGTCCCGACTATCCACTTTCTTAGTACGCGAATTGAAAGTACTTCCTGGAAAAGATTGTTAAATTTAGTTACATTTCAACAGGTTTTTCGATTGAATATATGAATATTTCCTCATTTTGTTTAAACATAAAAACTCAACGTTTCATACTTTTCGTTGCTACTATTATGGTTTATAACTTTTTTAACTTACACTCAAATTTAAAAATATTTTTCACTTAAAATATTATTAGACAATTAATACTCTCCTTTAATATACTGTTTTACAAATTTTATTAAGCCTTTTGCCACTTTTCTTCACAATCACTATTTGTTTTCTTCATTTCTTCAATTATAACTCAAAGTCTCCAAGACATTTGTGTCTACGCCACAATCACTACTTATTTGACACTCGTATATGCCATCCTTTTGCTCTCGTAATAAGTGACAGCGCTGACGTATGAAGCAGTGGTTGTCTTTCTCCTCAAGTTGGAGCGCGTTCCGAAGTCAACAAAAAATCGGTGCACATACCTTTTAGTTCACAAGTGTACACTCAGAGGCAGGTATGGTGTCCCCCGGCGATGTCGTATACGCCTGTAAAACAATCGAAAGCGATGACAGGCATGTACGCATACGCATATGGGCGTACTGTACAGCGCGAAAGAAGTGAAGAAGGAGAAGTGGTGGGAGACGTTCCGATGCTGCATCCTTATCGCACGTCGCACGATCGAGAGAGAAAGCATTATCAGACGTGGTACGGTTAATGGTGTCCCCAATAGCTGTCTCACTCACTCTACGCTTGAATGCAGGGAATATGAGTGAGACAGCTATAGAGACGCCACGCTGTCTCTATAGGTGTCTCGCTCGCTCTAATAGCCATGTATCGCGCTTTCCTCTTTTCTCATTAGCAGAAATGCCGATTAAGGAGGGAATCCTGTCTGTAGACCGGAAAAATAAGCTATTTTCACGAATTTTTTTTCGGAAACTAAGCAAACGATTGATTTCAAACTTGATAGAAACAATAATATATGTTTTATTGATAAGAATAAATTTTTATAGCGTTATAAAAGAGAAAAGCGCGATACATGGCTATTACAGCGAGCGAGACACCTATAGAGACAGACAACGCGGTGCATATAAAAAATTAATATTTTTTAATTTCGCTAGTTCACACGATAGATAGACATGTTTCGAATATGTAACTACATGCTGAAATCGATCGATCGACTTTTTTATATAAGAAAAAGGTTTTTTCTCTGGTTTCAGGAGATGCTGTATAGCGTTTCGTTATTATAATTGTAATTTTATTATTATTAAGTCTCCTAATTTTTTTTTATATTTTCAAGAGCGGAGCCTACATTTTAAGTAGCATTTTTATCTCACTTGCGTTTTTGTCCCAGTCCACCATATTTCGAGATTTTATAGGAACCGTGAAACGGCGCGCGCCTAAACACGTCACGTTATTTTTTGTGTATTTGCTACATTATTATTCATATAACGCTATAAAAATTTATTCTTATCAATAAAACATATATTATTATTTCTATCAAGTTTGAAATCAATCGTCTGCTTAGTTTCCGAAAAAAAATTCGTGAACATAGCTTATTTTTCCGGTCTACAGACAGGATTCCCTCCTTAATCGGCATTTCTGCTAATGAGAAAAGAGGAAAGCGCGATACATGGCTATTAGAGCGAGCGAGACACCTATAGAGACAGCGTGGCGTCTCTATAGCTGTCTCACTCATATTCCCTGCATTCAAGCGTAGAGTGAGTGAGACAGCTATTGGGGACACCATTAACCGTACCACGTCTGATAATGCTTTCTCTCTCGATCGTGCGACGTGCGATAAGGATGCAACATCGGAACGTCTCCCACCACTTCTCCTTCTTCACTTCTTTCGCGCTGTACAGTACGCCCATATGCGTATGCGTACATGCCTGTCATCGCTTTCGTTTGTTTTACAGGCGTATACGACATCGCCGGGGGACACCATACCTGCCTCTGAGTGTACACTGGAAAGCAAAACGATTTCGACAGTTTTTTTTCTAGTGACATGGGGTGCGTTCAGCGAAGAAAACCGCTCAGTGAGCGATTAATGACTAAAGCCAGCGGCATACGGTGCCGCTGGCTTAATTGGTCCTTACTGTTAAACTCTTAAGCCAGCTTGTTTTCGTGCTGGATTGCTTGCTAGATGAAAATACTGCGTTTTGATTGGTGCATTTCCATCCATCTTCGGAAATGCACCAATCACAACGCAATATTTTCATCCAGCAAGCAATCCAGCACGAAAACAAGCACCGTGTGCCGCTGGCTTTACACTCAGCCAATAACGTTGACGAATTATTCAAGTGGACGTAACGCATCCATGAGTAACCCGTATAATTATGAATTTGAGAATCACTTGCACGAGAGAGAGAGAGAGAGAGAGAGACCCGCGATCTTTTGTTTTGCGCAGTTTGATTAAGCAGTGATCCTCAAATTCCCAACTACACGAATTATCCACGTCATTAAAAAAAAAAAACTGTCGAAACCGTTTTGCTTTCCAGTGTACGTGGAACGTAAATCATGTTCTCAAACTCGCACAAAAAATTACGGACGATTTTTTTGTCTGCCATCATACATTGGTAATCAATGATTATTTTATGGATTACATATTAGGCCTGTTCGTTTTGTCTGCACTACTGAACTTGTGCAACAAATTGAAGTGAGAAAACCTACGTTTGTCTCACTTTAACTTAATGCACCAGTTCAGCAGTGCAGACAAAACGAACAGGCCTATTATCTTAAAGGGTACCTTGGATAAAACACGCAGCTCTGATAAAGTGGCTTTGTGTAACAAGATGTTCCTTGGTGGAAAATTGCCAAGATCAAGGCTGCGTTCTGATATTCATTGTCAGCACTAAAGATCTATCGTTCATGTTACACGTATATTATAAATTTTCGGTATTGACGATAAACATCGGAACGTAATCCCGGAAGCAAGCGGAAGAAAAGAATCACTGCTCGTGGACTTGCGCAATAACCTGTTGTGTGACAGCATTTGGTGCGTTCCGAAATACATAGAAAAATAACGGTCCAAACCGTTTTCTTTCCAAGTATACGTAGCGTGAACCCGTGTACGATCGCATCGTGTGCAAGAGTGTGTGCTACAGTTTTTCTTTTTTTTTTCGATCACGTATAAAGTCTTCGGTTTTTACAATTTCTTGGAATAATCCGCTTCTTCGATCTGTACCCCGCTTACTATAAAAAGCTTAAAAAAGCAGAGTGTTTGCTGAACGACTCGACGGATGTAGAAGGTTGACGCGATTCTTCTCAGCGTACTGTCTAAAAATGCAAATGCAAGATACCGAAGGTGCTGATGGTGAGTAAACGTACAGACATAGGTTGTTCACGTGTTGACAATACTTAATTTTCGATCATTTACTACATTGACTGGTCACAGCGAAACCGTTCATCGAAAATTTCCTTCCGCTGAGTGACATAACCTCCATTTCCCTGTCCGTGTACCTTCTTGAACTTTATTCTACCGATTTTGACATAACCATGGTATGGATAACTAGGACACTTGTATCCTTGTAATTGATAAGCTAAATTTATAATTCCAAAAAGATGCACTTCTGATTTTCATAAAATTCCTCAAGCGACCCTTGAAACAGAATTCATGAAAAGATTCTGTTTTTGTGCAACCAAGTTTATTGGTATGATTTTAGCCCCATCCCCCACCCTTTTTCTTTAACCAACACCGTATTAGGAAACTGTTCCATGCTTCTCCAATGCTAAATTATGTATGTGTTTCGCTCCAAAGTGAACAAATTCAATCTGAGGTAGTGGAAAAGAGCGAATCTAGAACAACCATTTTGCAAACAATTTTGCCTATTGAAAGTAGAATAATTCTAATCTGGAGATACACGCACGCGTGCACACACACACACACACACCACACATACACACACACACACACACACACACAGAGAGAGAGAGAGAGAGAGAGAAATTATCATTTTGAGTAATATACAGTTTGAACCAACTCTATTCTTTCTGCGCACAAAAATATCTTATTACCATTTCAAGATATATTCGAATCTTTGTTTCAGGCTCGCCGTGGAATAATTCTAGTGGCTGCGAGGAGGATCGTAGGCTACCTCAAAAGGAGGGTAAAAAGTCAAATGTGTTACCGCTATGGGGCAATGAGAGGACTATGAATTTGAATCCTTTGATATTGACCAACATACAGTCGTCACACTATTTCAAGGTGAATCTGTATGAGCTTAAGACCTATCATGAGGTAATCGACGAGATCTACTACAAGGTATCCCATCTGGAGCCCTGGGAGAAGGGTAGCAGGAAGACTGCGGGTCAGACTGGCATGTGTGGAGGCGTGAGTATGTTTTCTCAGAGGAACATCGTCCAATTTCAGTTTCTCTTTTGTCTTTTTCTTATTTATTTCTTTCTCCCTGTTCCTTCTCCTTATTTCTTTTCTCTTCTTCACTATTAATGGACTTGTTAGAAGTGTAAGAGGTTTGAGAGATACAGTACCTGCACGTCGCACAGACGTCACACTTGCACACAGAAAAATGATCATGTAACGCACTAGTCGGCGACCTGGATGAATATTGTTCCGACGGGTGGACAAATGGTGATACCATTTTGGGCGAGTTTCATACATTGACGTATCGATTCCTCGATACCTGAGCCATTCACTTTTGTCGACCGGCTTTGTCTTCTCTCTTCCTCTACCATAAACTACAATTGTTGAAAAATTAGGAGGAAGTGTGCTCCGAATATAAAACTTTACAATTACTCCTTGTACGTATAAGCAATTCGTAATTGACACCTTTTCTGGCTATACAAATTACAAAAATTTACCCAAGAGTGACCTTCGTGTCTCGGATTAGAGAATCGCCGAGTATGGCACCATCTTGTTAATAATCGATTCGTACGTGTGAAACGCGTGAGGTCGGCAACATCAACACGCGATCACATGCAAATCGACAACGGACATCGATCTAGAGCCCCGCAAGATTCTGAGCACACGCCATGTGCCGAGACATTGATTGTCACTGTGGTCGGACGTTTCAGAGATTCGAGCACCGACGGCGAGCAGAGTCTATCTCTTTACTCTCACTCGCTCGCTCTTTCTCTCTTTCACTTAACACAATCACCATCTTACTTATTGCAGAGTAGCATGTATTCGGTCCATATATTGTATAATAACACGAATGTGACTTAACTGACTGAGGGGGGTGTAAATTTAGCGGTTCATGCAGGTGCGAGGCGTAGGCGCGGGCGGCATCGTTTCCACGGCTTACTGTCTACTGTACAAACTCTTTACACTGAGGCTAACCAGGAAGCAATTGAACGGGCTCATTAATCATCCAGATTCGCCGTATATCCGCGCCTTGGGATTCATGTACATTAGGTGAGTCTCGTTTGTCATAGCGGACGAAGAAAGTAATCACGCGTTATCTCCTTCCCTTCTTTCTCCCTCTTTCTCCCCCCCCTCCCCCCATCCTTTTTCGAAATTAATTTGTAAAAACAACAAGAGAAAATATCGCTGTTCAATCCTGATTGTTGCGAGTTGAATTGGCGAAAATTTCTGCTTTTCTGTTTGATCTAAGATAGCAGCGTGAGTTACTTCAAGTTGTTCTCCCAACATTTGTTCCGTTCGAGTCAAGATAAACTATTGATTGCAACAGATACACACAACCGCCGGCGGACTTGTTCAGCTGGTATAGCGACTATCTGGATGACGAGGAAGAATTGGACGTAAAAGCTGGCGGCGGACAGACCATGAAGATGGGTGACATCCTCAAGCAGTTTCTTACTAAGCTCGAATGGTTCTCCACATTATTTCCGCGTATACCTGTACCGATTCAGAAGGATCTAGAATTACGGCTGGCGGAGCGTTTCCCTCAACAGACAATGAACGCACGTAACGCCAAGCCGCCAATTACGCTTAACAGTTCGCACGGCAAATACGGCAATAGTGTGGGGATTGGTAGCGGAAGGAAAGACAACGGCAATATGACGACAACGCGTAACCAACAGCATCATCATCACCATCATCATCATCATCATCATCATCACCATCAACAACAGCAGCAGCAGCAGCAGCAGCAGCAGCAGCAGCAGCAACAGCAGCAGCAGCAGCCCCGACACATTCCTGACAGCGAGGCTCAGTGGGGCGAGGCAGAGCGTACGAGTCACTGGCGTGCCAGGTGCGTCCACGTGGTACGAATACAACGATCACGTTACTAATACAATTTATCGCGATTCCTTATTTCCCCAAACTATTTTCCGACAATTCCGACATTCCGACGAAGCAGGGCCTTGTCTAGAACGAGCCTTGACTAGCTCTAGTGATACATTGGACTTGGCGAGAGGACTTGAGATTGATCAATCTTTCCGCCGATACGAACATAGATCGAGTCTCGCTGAGTCTCGAAACAACTGATGTCATACTTCCGTTCGAACGTGCTTTTTTTTCAGATCCGATGAGGATCGTAAGGACAAACATCGGGAACGTGATCGGGAGCGAGAGAGGCAGCGCGAACGCGATCGGGAGAGAGCTCGCGAACGGGATAGAGAGAGAGAAAGGCATTGCCGAAGGTCCAATAGCCGTGACAGAAGTAGAAGACAAAAGGATTACAGAAGCCGCAGCAGGGACAGGTTGCATAGAGATCGGAGCAGAGACCGTCATCGCGATAGAGATCGGCATCGAGACAGGTAAAGAGATGAGAAAAGACGGGCCAAACCCATTTACCGTCGAATGGTCCTTTGTGCTCGGTGTAATAATTAGCTGCTAGTATTAACGTTCGGAAGATACACCTCTGTGAATAAGAACTTAGTGAAAAGAGCTTAGAATTAAATATTTTTCACCATTTGATATACTACAAGGACTCAAAAACACAAATATCCTTAATGTTTCAGGAGGGGTTCACCGTACGATTATGCTGCGGAGTTGGCCCGTGAGCGCGAGAGACAACGAAGGGAGTGAGCAAGACCATCGCGACTACACACCATGTACATATTATATGAACGTAATTATTTGTACAAGCGTGTAACTATGGGGATTGAGAGTAACAGTAATCTAGAACCGAGCCATACTACTTTTCGTCATCGTCGTCATCATTATCATCATCATCATCATCATCATCATCATCATCATCATCATCATCCAACAACAACAACAACAACAAAATACCTTCACTATATATATATATATATATATATATATGTATGTATGTATGTATGTATGTATATATCCTGTTTGGTAACAGGAAAATTTACTTTGGGACGATGTGTAACCTAAATTTAATTCGTCTATATTCACGCGATGTAGTTTACATGTTTTTATAAAATAAATTCATCACTGTCACACACTGTTATCTTTCAATATTTTGTACATTTTCTCTGTCCCTTATGAGGTTTCGTCGAATTTGAAGCAAAATATTATCAGCTGAGGACACGTTGACTACATGATTCAACGTTCACGTCCCATGCATGTAGTAGTAGTAGTAGTAGTAGTAGTAATAGTAGTAGTAGTAGTAGTTGTAGTAGTAGTAGTAGTAGTAGTAGTAGTAATAGTAGTAGTAATAGTAGTAGTAGTAGTAGTAGTAGTAGTAGTAGTCTTTGCTGGCTCCGGACTGCATTCAGCTTTGTCCATACGCCATTCTCCAGTATGTTTGCTAAATAGCTGCGTGAACAATTCACGCTATCGCAACATCTGACATGTGTGGTAACGTCTGACATCCAATGAAAAAAGTGAGTGCGTTCACGACACGTTCTTTTTATTGGATATCAGACGTTGCCACGCATGTCAGATGTTGCGATAGCGTGAATTCTTCACGCAGCTATTTAGCAAACATACTGGAGAATGGCGTATGGACAAAGCTGAATGCAGTCCGGAGCCAGCAAAGAACTACTACTACTAAAGTCTTTTGTTCGCCTCCGTGGCGGTTGGATATGGTTCCTGCAACTAGGCATATTTTTTTATCGTGGGGACTGCGTACGCGTTGTCCCTGTTTTTTTTTTTTTTACCTTCATACTATTGGAAAATGGCGTATGGATAAAGCTGAATGTAGTCCGGAGCCAGCAAAGAACTACTACTACTACTACTATTACTACTATTACTACTATTACTACTACTACTACTACTACTACTACTACTACTACTACTACTACTACTACTACTACTACTACTACTACTACTACTACTACTACTACTACTACTACTACTACTACTACTACTACTACTACTATTTTGCAAACATGGCCGCTTTCGAGCTTCTACGATTCGGTCCGTTTGACCGTACCATTGTGTGTTTCGTAGGTGAAATTGCCAAAAGATTGAAACAAGGTTGAAAGTATGAGTGGTGCGAATCGAGTGACGTTTAATCTCGCTACTCTGACCAGCGTAGGTCTTGGTGGTTGGTACCTAGGCAAGTTTTTCGAGCGGAGACGATGCTTGAACGAAAAAGACAATGGAGCAATCGTGTTCCCGAAGGCGCGAATACGTAATATGCCAGCTTTGCCCCTGTTCGGCACGGTTACAGCTGCTACCCCGTTGACACCAGTAGAAAGCAACACCGAAATGGGCTCCAAAGTATCCTCCACAGCCGCGAGAATATCGCAGGTAATGAGAAAGCGTTTCGACGACTTCTAATTAAATTGCAAATATGTTTGATTAATGACGTTTAATAACGAAAATGAAGGTGAGGCCCTTGTTCTAAACATTTGCTCCTTTCTCTCTTTTCCATTTCGTGGACTTTAAGATGGCTGTAGTGTACATTGATCATTGCTGTAGATTATGAAATTTGGTTTTCCTGGATTGGATCATGTAAGATCATACGAAGATTTTGTACTGTCGTACGACAGACGGAACAAAGTCGCTCATTGGGTATTTGAACACTTGACGAAAGAAAGATTGCGACACAACGATGCTGTGGACCGTTTAAAGTGCGAATTCAAGCCTGATCAGAGTATACATCCTTTTTTCAGGTCAGAATACAAGATTCAATCTTCAAAGCCATTTTTAGAATAATCTTCAATGTCATGAAGATGAAATTTAATAAAATGATTTACCACTGTGCCTTCAAACACAATCTCAACAATGTCAACAGATCAGAGAACGCAGATTACAAGGGAAGCGGTTACGATCGTGGTCATCTGGCTGCAGCTGGCAATCATAAAGTTGAACAGAAGCACATGGAGCAAACTTTTCTCCTCTCCAACATGGCGCCACAAGTTGGTGTGGGTTTTAACCGAGATTCTTGGAACAGATTGGAGAAACATGTTAGAAAATTGACAAACATCTATAAGGATGTTTATGTGTGCACAGGACCGCTGTATCTTCCAAAGTATATTCACTATTCTTGCTACACTTTGAATCTTTGCAAATGCTTTCTGTTCATTGTAAAATATATTATATTTACAAAGATTGATCTTCAGTTCTCAGTTGCTCAGTTGTTTCGTTCCTTTATTTTTCTTATTCGATCTCCTTGGTTATTTTATTTTTCATATATTTCCTACTGTAATGTGTTGTTCTACTTGATGTGCTTTCTTTTATGCATTATACTACTTTATGCACTCTTTTATGCTTATCGCTTATTTCTACCTCTTAATCTCGATCAGTTCTCTTTTTGCATGTTGCGAGACACGTTACGTTAGAGTTACTTAAATGTAACTTGTTAATCCACTTGTTTGTACACTTCTCTCTGTTCTTCTTTTACAATATATATATATATCTGTTCCTCATAATCGGCATTATATTGTAAGTACATATGATATCTTGCTTGTATGTAGAAAAGAAGCAGATGGAAAAAAGTATGTGCGCTATGAAGTAATAGGAGTAAATAATGTGGCAGTGCCTACGCACTTTTATAAAGTGATCGTCGGCGAGACAAGCGACGGCAAGTTGGAGATGGAAACCTTTGTAATGCCAAACACGCCAATCGATGATAATACACCGCTCGCCAACTTTCAGGTAGTATTTTCTTTTACATTGTTACGAGTGAAATTTATGAAAAGATGTACATATACATAAAGTATTCTGTAGATGTATAATATACATATAAAACATTCGGTTTACGCTGTTATAATAAGATTAAATGTAACAGGAAGAATATATCTAAGAAACGCGGAAAAATGTCGTCAAGAATGAAAGAGAGAATTAATTTTGCTGATAGGTACCACCAGAGAGAATCGAACGTGCTGCTGGACTTTTATTTTTCGATAAAATATCGCGCGATAAGCTGAGCAAGGTGAACGGGAAAAGCACAGGCTGGTTTTAACCCTACATTGATTACGTAGATTATTTCTAGTGTATTTTTAGTAGCGATAAATAAAAAACTCGTTTACATAATTCAAATAGCTTTTCGCCGATAAACGACGACAAGCTCAAGATAGAGAGAGGCTGTTGTGTCGCCAAATATATCATCAATGAAGGATGACACGTTCCTCATTAATTTCTAGATGTTAGTGCGTTTTATCTCTAATTTTTATAAATCCAAAGTAAAAAGAAACTATCGAATTATACGAGACATTCTATACTGTAAATACGATTATAATGAAACAAATTCATTTGTTCATTCATATAAAAAAATATTCTATTAACGAGAAAAATGTACGTGTGCGTGTATATGTGTGTGTGTGTGTGTGTGCGCGTGTGCGTGTGTGTGTGCGCGCGCGCGCGCCCGCGTACGTGCAGGAAATACGACAAAATGTAAATAAACTAGCATTATGACAGTGTAATTTTATCAGATGTTTCCAGACAGAATCGAATTATTGTGCTAACATCATATTTCATTAAAGTGATAAATGTGTACATAGTCGTTTCTTAAATTATACGTATATATATTGTTTTCGTACACTTAATTGTACACTTAATTATTCGCTTGCGGAGGAAGGGGGAGGAGGAGAATAGTTCCGCTTATATACTTATCCAACGCAATGTGTCGCGTGTCTGTCAAACACGATCACATGGAATAAATTCTCACGATTCTCACGATTTTTCAAATCTACATATGTATTTTATTCGACCCTTTCTTTTGCAACGATCCAAGTTCGGACACGTCTATTACGAGATGAATTATACGTGCCAATTTTACATGCTTCTATCTCGAAATGAAAAGATAAAAGAACTGTATTATTTGTCTAAACTGTGGACATTAGGATACTCTTCGCACAGTTTCGACACATGTGCATTATAAAATGTCTGTATTATAAAATAAGAAAATTAAGGAAACAAACAAAGTCGATGGAAATTTAATTTATTTTTCTCAGATACATTTGGTTTTTTTTGCTGTCCTTCGTTTTCCTCGTGTCACATTAAAAATTCAGTCTTACGAACACACGCTTTAAAGTGACGAATATCGTGCAAAAGTCACAGAATCGTGACACGGTTTTTACAGAGTAAACTTGTATAATGCAAGTTTATCTTGCCGTTTACTTTGGTCGTGGTAGTAAGTAATTACGTACCGATGGATATACGTTCGTCGTTTGTTAAATACCTAATAGTTATATAAAATTCTAGCGGTTAAATCGTTAATCTTCACGGCTTACAAACTATAACGAGACTATGTACAAAATTAACAGAGGCGCACCGGCGATATCGCGATATGTTTTATACGCAAAACGAGTTTTCTTTCCGCTTGCAAGTTTTCAAGTTGCGCTGAAAACAATCAACGATATCACATCATTTCTACACAGATAAGTCGTTGAATAAACGTTGACGCTGCTTGACAATATTTAGGACTTGATATTTAGGACTTGTAAGCCCTGCGATATAATGGAAAATGGAGACATGTAACAAATGGTCTATTCTTTTTAGCTGCACTGCGGAACTAGTGCAATAAATTAGAATGAGACAACTATATTTTTTCTCACTCTAATTAATTGCATCAGTTCAGTAGCGCAGCTAAAAAGAGCAGACCAACTATGTTAATTGACATTGGACTAAAGAAAGATTCAATTGAAATTAAACTGATAGAAAATACAAATTTGTTTGTTTTGTAAGAAACATTGCAAGAGGCAGGATTCAATGAGAGTAATAAGAAGAGGGTTCCGTCCACTATGATAATGATAAAATTAGAAAATTCTCCTTTAGAAACTTGAGACGGCACATACGATTTGGAAATATGTAAGAAAAAGATATAAAAAAATACTGAATACTTAAAAAATAAGAAATGCATGTAATAAAAATAACAAATAGAGACCTACAAAATATCTTTTTACAGCTAATGTTGAATCTTCGGAACTGGAAGTTGAGACTCACACGATACTAATCTCTACCAGCGTTCCTCGATTCATCTAGCCTATCGCAGCTATCGTAAGGACATTATGTATTATTCTTGGAATGTCCTGTTGTCTCTTCCTTCTCATACTTTCAGATACTACGTGCTCGCGATGCTTATCAATAATACACAACTGCGCGCGCGCGCGCGCGCGCGCGCGCGCGTGTGTGTGTGTGTGTGTGTGTGTGTGTGTGTGTGTGTGTGTGTGTGTGTGTGTGTGTGTGTGTGTGTGTGTGTGTGTGTGTGTGTGTGTGTGTGTGCGCGCTGGCAGAGAAAAGACGGAAGAAGAGTAACAGTAAAAGGAGAAGGAGAAAGAGGAAAGATTTAGGCACTAAAATGGACGGGTCTGTTCGTTTGAATGCCTCCTTCGAGTATTGCTTACGCCTTAAGGACACTTTTCTGAGAGCTTTAAGTACACTTTGTTAAAATCCACGATGATTTAAGCGCAATGTTATTTACAGAGTGTCCCAGACAAGTGTGTGTGTGTATGTGTGTGTGTGTGTGTGTGTTGCCTCTTGCTCCTTATTATTGCCGAGAAACTCTCGCACGATTATCACTAAATTTTTTCAAAGATTTGCAACACAAAAATCTTTCGAACCCGATATCTTTAGATTTCATATTACTTGGTCGTGGAATATTATCGAGTCCAACGGCTCTTTGTTTTTCGAATTTACGAGTTCTCGAATCTCGTTGTTGGTCCCTTGGACATACGATTACACAAGTCAAGAACATAAATTGATCGATTGACATATACGTTGGTACACGCAACGTAACGCTTTTCCTGTGACACTCTATATACATTCCTCGGCCGCAGGGAAGTACATATATGTGTATTATAAAATCACTCTAAAAGAGCTTGAAGTGATACACACGTTGGCTTTATCTCGTTTCAACGCCGTAACGCCGAACCTGCAAGTTTCGCTCGATAATTGTCATTCTTCGACAGACGCATCATCGAGAAGTGTTCGTTGCGTATCGTTGCGAACACATGTTAACTGTTAAGTTTGTCGTTAATACTGAAACACTTCTCTCTTCGCGTATTCGCGTTATTTCATGTGCAAGCCACAGACGGATTAAAAGAGGATCCGAAACAAATTTTGGAATCGATCCCAAAAGAGCCCAAAGAAGGAATTTAATTTTGTAGAAAAAATTCACATTTGATCTCAATTCCTTTTAATTCGTCTATCGTTTGTAACGATGAAACAGCAACAATTAGAAGACGCTACGAGCGATCGATTCGTATCGTCAACATGGCCGTTCGTTGAGCAATCATTGTCGTACGTACGAGTGATGCGTGGTGTTCTTCAGTCGAAAAAAATTTGCAATCACTATTGGCGTACTCGCGAAAGATACTAGGACGCGAAGCCCAATGTACGGAAGCTGCGCTCCATGGTCGCACGATGGTAAATATACTGTACATAGTTCTGATTCGGTCGTTCGATTCAGGTGACGATGATCATCGATATGGGCATATTCTCGGGCATATTCTGTCATTCTGAACGTAATTTTGGCAAAAGAACGGAAAACTATACGTTACAAAACTATACATAATTGTATCTGAATTAATTTAATCATAAAACGCAATGATTCGCGCGAGTAAATTGCGTTCGTCGTCGAGACACTCGTTTCGCAATGTTGTTTGTCTATCAGCTTCCATAAAGCGAGGCTTGCGCGCATTACCTAATTGCCTGCCTCGGCCACTGGTCGATTAGATCAATCTCTCCTCCGGCGGAGGCTTCATCACGTTATCCATCTCCACTCGCGGATTACTGAACTCCTGAGCGCTCGGGCTATAAGTGCCACGTGTCGCGCGCTTCTTTCTGGCCATCATGAAAAGTGCTACGAGAGATACAAGTGCGATGATGAAGAGGCAACCTACTATTGGCCCCACAATCACCGCGATGTCAAGGGCTTGACTGCCCAAGAAATTTCCCGACTGAAAATTAAATAATTTAATTACAAGCAATATCTATGTGTGTCTAATTGTGTTGTTTAATATTCATACTTGAAAGAAAAAGATCACTCCGTAAAATCGGTTATTTACGGAAAAATAAATGTGTGCTCTTTATGAAATACGGATCGGACAACAAATACATTGGAGCAAATAGAATAATATTGACCTTCGATTCGTCAGCGACCGTTTGCCTGCCGCTAATGTATTTCTACGTGATATTTCATTACACACAATCCCTCTTTTGAAAATTGAAAAACTTTTGAACGTCTGCTTTCTGCTTGTACAAACGTGTGCTATTGTCGTCGACGACTTGTACTCTAAATGCTCTGTGCATTCCGAATGAATCATCGCTCAGAAATTTTACGTGTTATCTCTGACTCTGATACACTATACTACTACAATTTATCCGACTTTCTCACTGAATTCTTCATCTTACCTCCGTACAATTTTGTCCCGTGTACTCGAGAGTGCATTGACACGTGTACCCGCCGTCGTCGGCGCACTTGCACGTGCCGCCGTTTTGGCAATATTCCTGATACAAAGTCGAAAGTTGAGGTCGATTACGATCAAGTATTGGCATGTCCTCCCTCACACACACACACACACACACACAAGAGTTACAAGTTACATGCAATTTATTTGTGCTTTCTTTAGATCCATTACATTTTTTTTAGAAGAAATAGAATTTTTTTAGAAGAAATTTTATTTTAGAAGAAAAAAATAAGGACTTCTCTCTCCCTCTCTTTCTCTTTCTCTTTCTCACCTGATTACATGGGTCCGCCATCCCACAATTGTAACCGCAGTAGCCCGGGTCGCAGATGCACTGATAAGTACCGGGTAAATTCTCGCATTTGCCGTATCTACAATCGGCCGTCGGACCCAGACACTCGTTTATGTCGACGGAACAATCCGGACCGGTGTATCCGGTGCCCTGGCAGTCGCATGTAAAGCTGTTTACTCCGTCGTAGCACTTGCCATCATTCTTGCAGGGTACGTTACCCTCGGAATCCGATGCACAATCATCGACGTTTATCTCGCAATACAGACCGGCATAACCGAGAGCGCAGGTACACTTTGGCGCCTGATCAAAGTAACAACCAATTTGAAATCAAGTGGACAGCGATCGAAAGATTCTAGCAGGAATTTTGAAAAAATCAAAACTACAGAGAGATTCTTTCTGGAAATGACGAACCAAGTATCCAAATACCGTAAGAAGGAAGGATAGCCTCTCGAAGTGATGATAGATGAATAACTATTTTAAACGATAAAGAATCTGAAAGAATCCTATAGGAAGGCCAAGAGAAATCACGCGCAAAAACACGCGCAAAAACACGCCGCGATTTATCCGCGAACTTGACATTTTAAAAATTCCACAAATTCTTTCTCTTCTCTTCGCAAGTGTTGCAATTCGCAAGCGAATTACCTGATACAGAAAGTCGCATCTACCACCGTTTTGGCACTTTCCACCGATGCAGTAGGGCGTGTCGCAGACCGAACCCTCGTAGCCAGGCACGCAAGTACAGGTGTAATTGTTGCCTGTTCTCGGATCCGCCACGTCCGCGCAAGTAGCATCATTCTTACATGGTTCGTTCTCGCAAGTGATGAGCCGGAAGCTCTCGCAGAAATCCCCGGTGAATTGGTCCGGACACTCGCACTTGAACAGTCCCGGTAGATTTACGCACACGCCGTCGTGTTGGCACGGGCTGAGCGTCACGCATTCGTTGATGTCGCTGTCGCATCTGCAATCAGATAAGAATCGATAAGATCCGTCAGCGAGATTTCTTACGATCGTCGGATCGTATGCAACGATGTATGATGAGAGAAGCTCCCGTGATATTTTCCGGCGCGATAAGTCGTTAATCACACTAGGGAGACTAGTTGCTGATTGCTGGTTGCTCTACAAGAGATTTTCTTCTTCTTTTTCGTTTCATTTTCCCTTTTCTTTCTCGAAGGTATTCGAAGGCAGTTCAAGTGTACCGTGCGAATTTTGTGGCAATTCTTTTGTGGAGAGAAATTTTGCTCTTGCAAATTAGTACTTTGTTTGAGTTTTGGGTTTTGGAAAATTGTACACGCAACATCTGCATCGATTGACGAAGTGAGAAAATTATATACTAACAACCATCCCTGCCAGCCGCTGTTGCACACGCAGGTGTAATTGGCAATGCCGTCTATGCAGGTCGCGCCGTTCTGGCACTTGTTGTCCACGCACTCGTTAATGTTGAAGGAGCAATCATCCTGGGAATAGCCGGCCGGGCACTCGCACACGTAACTGTTTTCCCTGTCGAGACAGTAGCCCTCGTTCTTGCAATCCGTGTCGAAACATAGCTGACAGCCGATGCTGTCGCGATGAGTGCCATTGTCGTTATCCTGCAACGCCAAAAACTGCAGCGGCGTAAAGTTTGCGTTCTGATAGACTTCCTCGTACGTGAAGTAATGCAACAGCATGCTGCCAATTCGCACCTCGCCTAAGCAACCCTTGAACGGTTCTCCTGCGGACAAAAAACACAAGCGAATAAAATTGGAATGATCCGATGCCGAGAAACGTGCGACGAGTACGGCAGAATCGGCTGTGTGTGTGTGTGTGTGTGTGTGTGTGTGTGTGTGTGTGTGTGTGTATAGAGTACGAGAAAAATTTACAATACGATAGAGTTGTGCCGCGCGCGCGCGCTGTATCAGGGAAAAATTAATGCAAAATATAACAACATCTTCATTTGCAAGATAAAATATAGAGCGCGCGAATGCGAATGCAGGAATAAGAAGCAACGCGAGCTAGAATCAGTCAACGACGACACGGCTCAGAGTCGACCATCTGACCCACCTGACATCATACTGTGCGACGGTGGCGCGGTCGTCAGCCTATGCTCGTTGCTGTAATCGACGCTATTCCCCTCGATCCCATTCCTCCTCTCCTGTCTGGATCCGACAGTGACGTAACTGTGCCTATCGGACAATGAGCTGCTGGACAGTCCGCCGAGGGTGACCGTTCCCGTCACCAAGAGATCGTGCCACAGATGGTAGTTGAAGCTGGAGCTCACGCAAGGTGTGTGTTCTTCGGCGGGACTACTGGCGTAGCCGCACTCCACGGAATTGTTGTTTAGTCTGATCAGCAGTGAGGTCCAGTTCCCGTCGGGCGTCTTACCGAAGGACAGCACGCCTTGATTCTCCGGATCCAATAGCCACGACACGGTAACGGTGTCTTTAAAAACGGACACAGTGAAATACTGTTCACCCACGTGCGACGTCATGTGGAGCAAAGTGCCGCCTGTGTTGGATCGATAGGCGATCTCGATGGTGTCTAGAGACATCGAGTTGCTGGAGTTACCGTCGTCGGCACGATCGTACGTATACGCGTACGTGAACGCGGTGGAGATGCCGTCGAAAGTCGCGTTAGCGATACACTCGTAACCGTCGTCGAGATTCTGGCAACGCGAGCCCGCCGGGCAGTCCTGCAGCTGGCAAAACTCCATCTCCTGGCAAGTCTTGCCGGTGTAGCCGCGCGGGCACTGGCACCAAAAGTCGTTCCACGTAACGTGACAAGTGCCATTGTGGTTGCACGGGTTGCTCACGCACACATTGTCCGATATCACGCCTTCGAGGACCTTGTCATGATCGAACGACACGTTGCCGAACTGAATCAGCGTGGGAATGTCCTGTGCCTGCACAATGCGATTTCGAACTCTTGAAATGTCACGATGTCACGAGAAGCCGCGAATCGTACTACCGTTAAGTCGTTTCAGCCAGTCCAACGACTGACCGAATGCTGCGGGACGGATGCTGCGGACGGAGAATTTACGAAAGCTCAAGGGAGAGATAATCGAACGATAATACGAACCTTCAAGGGGAAAAACTCCACGACCATAGTCTCGACGCCGTTCGATATCTGTACGTCCTGGATAACGCCCTTGAAGTTAACCTGCGGCGTCTGCTGAACATCCAACTGCCTGCTGTCGACCTGACGTATGTACCTCGACGCCTGCGGCAGTCCCCCGAGGTAGAGAACGGTCACGTTGAGCTGTCCCGTGGCGCTGAGTGTCTTGCGGAAGTACTCGGTGCCGTTGATCTTTACCTGAATGAGGGTGACGTTTCTCACTATCTGGATTAAATGATTGTTTCCATCGTGGAACTTCGCCCCGCCGACAGTGTAGGCCTCCGTGCCGTTAAACTGGATTCTCAAGAGCAGTTCTCCGTTCTCCAGCTGCGCCACTATGTAGCTCTTCTCCTTTTGATCGCTCTGAGAACTCGGCTCCGTACCCAGATAAAATATGTCACCGCGATGCTGCCTGGTGCGAACAAACATGGATATATCGACGATCGATCTGACGGCACGCCTTGCCGCGTCGGACACCTTGACAGTCACGTAGCCGTTTGTGATATTCTCATAGCCGAAGGTAGCGGCCGTCATGTTGTATTGACAGGTGTGGCCAAGATAAGGACGCTCGCATTTGCAGGAGAAATCGCGCCAACGATCGGTACAGTGACCGCCATTCTTGCAGGGGTTTGGCGAACATTGAGCCTCGCGAGGACAACCCGGATCCACGTCTTCCATGTACACGGTCTTTGATGTGGTGCCGGAATAAACCTGAAGGAAACGGCCCAAAGAGTTTTGAGAGAGAGAGAGAGAGAGAGAGAGATCTTGGCAAATAAAATGAATAAACGGCACATGTAAGAATCATACGTTACACCGATACACACAAATGTGCCATGTGTAAATACGTGCATAAATGCGCGCGTACAATAGAGGCACAGGAATTACAAATGTCTTTCGTAAAATGAGCAAACGAGAGCAAGATCCAAGATCATTATATATGCAGCGTTGTCGAAACAGTTATCGAAATCAGCCACTGGTAACGTGAATCGTCATACCCATTCGCCGTTGATGACGACATCCTCGGTGCAGCCAACGAAGAACGACGGTCCGTGAGTCAATCTCCTGAGGTAGCTGGTGGTACCGCCCACATAGGTCATGGGAAAGGATGTGTGATTCGAGTTTGAGCCCTCGTTGAGACTGATGGGATAGATGGTTTGCTCTTCGTTAGCGGAAAGAACGAGATGAGTCGCATTGATGGCCACAAAAACCTTCTGCCAAGTGGAATCATTGAGACCGCTACCGATGAAAACCCCCTCCCATTTGTTGAGCAAGCTGGAATGCAGGTTGAGCTTGCCGTTCACCAGCTCGAGGATGTAAAAGGTCAAACCCTTGCCGATAGCTAACAGGCCGTTCGGCAAGGTGGTCCTGAAGCGGAATTGGATGTCGTAGCCTTCATCGCGCGTGGTATTCACCAAGACGTACGAGCTGCCGCTCAGAGACATCGTGGTCACCTAGCGAGAGATGCCAAAGAACTTGTCACGGGATATTACTTTCGTATGCCTTTCGGCCATGCAGGCTCGGCACTGCATTTACGCACCTTCTTCCGCTCGAAATACTTGGAAAATGTCAACGAATGCAACGAAGCATAATCAAGTGTGAGTGACGCACGCTTTTATTTTATCTTTAACAAGCAACAATAGTCCTTAATCACTGCATTAAATATTTGGATTTTCAATCCACGCGCGCGCGTGCACATATGGTATGTGTACGGCTTGATCGAAAAAACTCTTTGACTCGGAGAGAGTCTCCTTTTCTTTCTTTCTTGCAACGTATAAAACGTCCATTGATACTTACATAATCGCAGACTTCGCCGTGATAGCCGTTGGGACAGGTGCAATTGAACTTGTGAATAGTCTCGTCGACCAAGTAGGGCCAGCAAGTACCTCCGTTCTGACAAGCGTTGCCTTGACATCCGGTGAGTTCTACCGAACAATTCTTGCCACCGTATTCGGGCTCACACATGCAAAAATAATCAGCTCTGCCGTCGGTACAAATCCCATGTTCGCAGGGGTTGTATCTCTTGCATTCGTCGATCTCGTGCTGGCAGTGATCGCCCTCATAGCCCTCGTCGCATTCACAAGTGTAGCCTCCGATACGGTCCATGCAAGTGCCCGCTTGACAGGGGTTGCTGTCGCACTCATTGATGTTTACCTCACAATTCTTGCCGGTAACACCTTGCACGCACAAACACACGTACCTGTCGCAATTCAAAAAATCTCAGTCAGTCAGTCTCTCTCTCTCTCTCTCTCTCTCTCTCTCTCTCTCTCTCTCTCTCTCTCTCTCTCTCTCTCTCTCTCTCTCTCCTTCCCCCTCGATGAGAAAAATATATACGAGTGGAATTTCATTAATTTTAGCTTTGTGCATTTCTATGAAACAAATTTCCACACGCGAGTTGGAAATTTGTAACATGATTTGGACATTGAATATTTTTGTTTTCATTTCCATCTCTTCGTTTTCTTGAGTGAAACTTGAGGAAAATTTTCGTTAAATAGACTCACCCGCTCGCGTTGACATAACTAAATTTCTGAGTGAAAATTGCGGGCAAGGTCGCAGAGACACTATCGTAAAGGTCTCTGTTGGACCTTTCGAGGCAGGTGCCGTTGTATTGACAGGGCGTGCTCTCGCATTCGTTCACATCCGTCTCACAGTTTTTGCCAGTGTAACCGGGGTAGCACTGGCACTTGTAGTTCTTGATATCATCCACGCAGAGTCCGCCGTTCAGGCAGGGATGCGACAGACAGTCGTCGATGTTTTTCTCGCAGCGCAGGCCCTTCAAATTTAAATTATGGAGGTTTATATTTATATATGTTTATATTTGTGTGTGTGTGTGTGTGTTAACAGTTGCAAATAATTTTTATTATAATTACGTAATTATAATCATGCTCAATATTGAATCAGAGAATAGCGCTTTCGATTTCAGAGAGAGAGAGAGAGAGAGAGAGAGAGAGAGAGAGAGAGAGAGAGAGAGAGAGAGAGAGAGAGAGAGAGAGAGAGAGAGAGAGAAGGAGAGGGAGAGGGAGAGGGAGAGGGAGAGGGAGAGGGAGAGGGAGAGGGAGAGGGACAGGGAGAGGGAGAGAGAGAGAGAGACAGACAGACAGACAGACTTGCAATCCCTCCAATTTAATTGCAATTGGCAAAATAGTTTGCGCTGCAGTTTCAGAGTGTATTGTTTGGTAACAATGTGTACGTGCGTGCGTGTGCAATCTCCTAGTCTCTCAGAGAGAGTCTTGGAGAGAATAACAAGTTAAATATTTATTCATCTACTCGCGCCAACCTTTACAGTCAAGAGGAGAGTAGCGTACCTCGAAGCCGGTGCCGTTGCAGTCACAGGTGAAGTCGTTAACACCGTCGATGCACTTCCCCATGTTCATGCACGGTGTGGACTCGCAGTCGTCGATGTTGATCTCGCAATTGGCACCGCGGAAACCGGGTGGACACATGCACGTGTACGCGGCCACGCCGTTTACGCATCTCGCGCCGTTTACGCAAGGATCGCTCTCGCACTCGTTCACATCGATCTCGCAGGTCTTGCCGGTATAGCCAGCCGGACAGTCGCACTCGAACGTGTTGATACGGTCGATGCACGTGGCGTTGTTTTTGCACGGGCCGCATAGACACTCGTCGATGTTAATGTCGCAATGATTCCCGGAGAAGCCGGGCCGGCAGAAGCATTCGTAGCTGCCTTCGGTGTTGACACAGATACCATTGTTGCACGGCGAGTTGCTGTGCGGCTCGCATTCGTTCACGTCGAGGTCGCAATACTGACCTGCAAGGTCGCCGACGACCGATCGTGTAAATTAAGCCGGAAGAGCAGATCCCTCTTTCTAAAGCTTCGCTATTTGTATACGATAAATGTCGAATATTGTCATGTACACTCGTACACCTAGTACATGATAGAACCTTACCTTGGTAGCCGGGCCTGCACTTGCATTCGAAGCCGCGCTCACCGAGATCGATGCATGTGCCGTTGTTGCATGGTTTCGCGGCGCAGTGGTCCACAATCAGGGTGCAGTTGGGATCTCTGTAACCCTCCCGGCACTTGCACTCGTAACCGGCGACGTCGTCCACGCAGACTTTGCCGTCGGGACACGCTACGCCTATGCAGTCGTCAATGTTCACGTCGCATACCTGGAATCGAAATTGTTGCGTGTACCGCCGATATATCGACAATACGAATGTCGAATCAACGCCCACCACGAACATTGAGCATTGCGCGCTGTTACTAGATATAGAAATATTATATAAATCGTCAAATTTATATAATATCACATGTATGTGTATATATATATGTATATATACATACACACACACACACACACGCATATGTAGGGTGTCCCATTTTAACTTTCGCATTAAAAAATCTCGAAAACTATAAAAGATATTAAAAAAAGCTAAAACACGTTCTCCGTGATTTCGAAGGGGAAGGGGAAATGGCATTATCAGTTTTTTATTTGGAGGGCATTTTCAAGGTCGGTTGAAGGTTGAACTTAATTTTTTAAAACAGAAAGCTAAATTTTTTATTATATCTTCTTTCTCTACCAATTAATGTTAACAACTTTTGTCTGAAACATTTTTTTATTTGCCTAATATTTTTTTGAAATATTTAAGGAAAACTTGGTAACTTTTTCAACATTTAACTTACGATATCTCATTAACTATACGTCGAAAGAAAAAAAATAGTACTAGACTTTTTTACTTTACTTACTATCAAGAATATATTACTATAATAGTGCCCTAACTTTTATTAACTTATCGACCTTTGAAAATTTCAAAATTATTAAATTAACAAAAGTTACAGCATTATAGTACTATTATAGTAATATATTCTTGACAGTAAATAAGTAAATAAAGTAAAAAAGTCTAATACTACTTTTTTCTTTCGACGAATAGTTAACGAGATAAATGTTGTAAGTTAAATGTTGAAAAAGTTACCAAGTTTTCCTTAAATATTTCAAAAAATATTAGGCAAATAAAAAAATGTTTCAGACAAAAGTTGTTAACATTAATTGGTAGAGAAAGAAGATGTAATAAAAAATTGGGCTTTCTATTTTAAGAAATTAAGTTGACCTTCAACTGACCTTGAAAATGCCCTCCAAATAAAAAACTGATAATGCCATTCTCTTTCCCCTTCGAAATCATGGAAAACATGTTTGAGCTTTTTTTAATATCTTTCATAGTTTTCGAGGTTTTTTAATGCGAAAGCTAAAATGGGACACCCCGTGTGTGTGTGTGTGTGTGTGTGTGTGTGTGTGTGTGTGTACTCGCTATCACGATTGATAGCGTGACCGACACACGATACCTTGCCCTCGAATCCGCGTGGACACTCGCAAACAAATTCTCTTCTCGATCTCGGCATCAATGTGCAACTGCCATTGTTCTGGCAAGGATTCACAGCACACGGGTCGTACTCCCGTTCGCAGTTATCGCCCATGAAGTCTCTGGTGCAGTTGCAGGTGTAACCGTTGACACGATCGACGCAGGTACCGCCGTTTTGGCACGGTTGAGACAGACATTCATCCACGTTGATCTGGCAATTCATACCTGCGAAAAATATCACTTTCAGAGAGCGAGCTCCGAGTCGCCGGAAAGCCGCCAGGAAGCCGGGACTAATCGGCAGCTGCGAATTGCTGCGAAACGCAAGCTTGGAAAGAGCTCTTGAAGCTTGAAATCCTGAAGAACAAAAGAAGGAGAAGCGAAAAGCGAACGGTTTCAGCGAATTCAGCTTCAGCCGAATTCGGACCGAACGCGGTGTGACTACGTTGAGAAGCTGCTACCACAAAAGTGCCACCGAGAAAGAGAGACACTGTTTAGAGAGGGTGTATACTGTCGCGCGCGAGCGAATCATATGCCGCGACTCGAGAGACTCGAAGAACAACTCGGTACAAATCGCGAAGGAATCCAAGGGATATTTCCACGTTTGTGTGCACAAGAGAGAAAACTATCGGGAAGAATATGCACGTGTCGCCTAAAATCCGCATAGCACATAAGGACTCGCACGACGATAAGAAAGGCACGAAAAGAAAAGGAACATACGAGCGAGGAAAGTGGAGGAGGGTCGGGTCGATTATCAGTATATCCTGGCAGGCATTCGCGGTAATAGCTGTTGAGCTGATGCAGATGCCACCGTTTCGACAAGGATCGCACTGACGGACGCACCGACGTCCATATCGATGGAATACACTCGGATCCCGCCCATCCTGGCTCGCAGGTGCAATAATAGCCGCACCAGACTGTGTGCACCCCGCCAGGGTGAGCAATGAGGATAGAGAACAATGAACGATATCGCGACGGACGATTCGTTTCGAATCGATTAACCCGTTCACAAATTCGGCATACTGATCCCTCGATAATCTTTCGGCCATTGTGTGACGCGCGTTACACAACGACGGTTTATACATCCATCAATCTCACACACACACACACACACACACACACACAACCATCGTCATCGTACGAATTTACTTAAGTGTTCGCATGGCGATTTAACCGCCGCGCCGACTGACCAGAGATCTCGTTTCAGACTCGCGAGAGACTCACGCGCAATAGCCGCACAACACAAGTAACGATTCGTTAATCTATCGAGTTGCAGAAATCAAGCAGCGAAATCATTCAGTTAGAAAGCCATCGCGCGTCTCTCAGACGCCCTGCGACAAGTCCCCCTGCGCAGGTCGTTGTCCCGTTGTCCACTAGAGAAACGGTCTCGTCTCAGAGGAACCGTCTAAGCGACACCGAGCGGCGCGAATCGTGCGGGTCAATCGTGTGCCTGAGGTGTGTGTGCGCGCGCGCGTGAGGTTTCACACTCACATAATCGTGACACGCGGAAGCCTGTCCTTTGCAGGGTAGATTATCACAGGTGACCGGTTCCTTGCAGAGGTCCGGGGCCCGGGACCCGGGACCCGGGACCCGGACCATAACATGCCTGGAACATTGGCATAGGATCCCCCCCGTGCACGGTTTCCGGGCAGCTGCGGCGCCGCCGCAGTCCGAGGCCGGAGAAGGGGAAGAGCACGTGCTTCCTGATAAACGTACCATGCGCGACATACCATGGGCTCGGCGATAAGTTCAAAAAGCGGGCGGAGATGTCAATGAGATTCAAGATTGCGAGAGGACAGGGGGGGGGGACTCGATGTATCTGGTGGGGGAAGGTGAATGCGGCTCCACGACTCGAGCGATCAAGCGAAAAGATTAACATCATAATCGTCAGGCGAATCGTAGATGCCGAATCATAATTCTGTTGGGAAAAGTATCAATTTCGAGAGAGACTGTAGGAAGAAGTGTACGATCCCCCCGTAAAGTGACGCGACGATTCATTTCTATCTCATCATGCCTAATTCGATAATTTTTATTCAAATAGAACGGAACGATTGGAATTAGAGCAAACCCTAAGACGCGCGCTTCTTCCACGATACTTCTATTCTCTGTTCACTGTTCTCGTCGTCTGTTGTCGTTCTGTTGTCGCTTAATGCGCGCGAGTAATGTGTTGCAAATCGCGTTACGTTAGTTCCGCCGTATATAATTAGCCGATCGGTCAACCTTTTCAACAATATTCGTGTGACAACATATTCAACATCCGATACTCTGCCCAATTAAATCAAATCTCTAATCAATCGCTGATTAATTTCCTATTAACTAAAAATTACAGACAGACCGATCTCGACCGAGAGCCGTGCTCTCGGCCCAAGCCGATCAAAGTGCTGCAACTATAATCGAAGCTAATCGATCCCATTCCAATATATCTAACTAGGCCACGCGCTATATACATGTATTACGCAGCGCCAATTTGACTGCCAATCTAACGCAACTCAACACTCGGCCGACCCGTTCACCCGTGTATAACAACGGAGTGTGATCCGTCCGTAAACGATCGAAAATGGATCGCGAGCATATACGCAGGAGTGAATGAAAATCGAAGAGGGGTCGACGGCTCGCATCGTCGTTGACACCGTCGTTGACGCCGTTGAGTCCCTCACCTCTCCATTCTGGAGGGCAGGTACAGTTGAAGCCGTCTCTGCCGCTGGCACAGGTACCACCGTTGGCGCATGGATTGCTCGCGCAATAATTGACCGTGCAATTGGGCGGATTGCCCATAAATCCGGGATTGCAGACACACTGCGCTCCATGGGAGTCCTCGACGCAAATGCTGTTGGCCGGACAAGCAGCGTTCTCGCAAAGGCCACGCAATTCACAATGGCGGCCGGTGAATCCAGCCGGACATTTACAGTGGTAGGTGCCAACGTCGTCGATACACTCGCCATCGTTGTTGCACGGCCCGGATAGGCACTCGTTCAGGTTTAGCTCGCAGTTTTGTCCCTCGAAACCCGCCGGGCAGTGGCAGATGTAAGTGCCGTAGTAATCGTAGCACACGCCGTTGTTTAGACACGGGTTCGCCAAACACTCGTCAACGTCCACGTCGCAATTGGAACCTTCGTAGCTAAAGAAAGAGAAAGAGAAAGGGAGAAATCACATTTGCGAAACTGTCGAAGAATGACCCGCGCTTCAAGTAGAGTTCTAGTGTCACCAAGACCTCTTGACCGTGTGTGATCGTGTGCGAGTGCGCGTAAGAGATTATGCACTCCCTTCCCGCGTCTCATGTCTACGTCTACCAATTTCAATCAAACTTGAGTTTTCTCAAGAACGCGTACCCCGTTCTGTCGCATACGCAGGTATAATTATTGATCCCGTCGATGCAGATGCCGCCATTCCTACACGGATTCGGGGCACACTCGTTGATGTTGGCCTCACAATTCTTGCCAGTCCAGCCGGGTTGACATTCACATCGGTACTCACTCTCGGTGAGCGCCAGACAAACGCCGTCGTTCTTGCATGGACTTTGCTCGCACAATCCTCCCACTCCCAGCTGGGACTCGCAGCGGCTGCCCGTGAAAGCTGGCTTGCAGGCGCAGCTGAAGTCACCACGGGGATCTTCGCTGCAGGTACCGCCGTTGCGGCAGGGTGCATTCTGACAAGGTGGGCCTGTACGAGACATTTCGTCGAAGGTTACGGAACAGGTCTTTCGAGCAATACCAGATGTGGCAAGGTGAGGTGAGGCGAGGTGAGGCGAGGCGAGGCGAGGCGAGGCGAGGCGAGGCGAGGCGAGGCGAGGCGAGGCGAGGCGAGGCGAGGCGAGGCGAGGCGAGGCGAGGCGAGGCGAGGCGAGGCGAGGCGAGGCGAGGCGAGGCGAGGCGAGATGACAGTAAAGCAGAGCGATAACAATTAGTTGCATTAGTTGTATGGTGACGAGTGAAGAGTCGCGCTCATTTAATGATCAGATGTCAGTTAATCAGTTGTCGAAGGGAGAAAATGTTTGTTCCAAACGAGTTACCTATGTGTCGTATGTTATACTGTACTGCGCGTTTATAGTTTGAACAAATCGCAACCTCCGGCAAGTTATACACCATGCATCTTACGCATGCAACAACACCTTCACGCGTGCTTGACTTTGCAATTGTTCACAAGATCTTCGGATCTTGACGATTCGAAACGATTTTCTCATTGGTAAAGGAGGAAAAGAGGCGAAAGGAACGTCGGTAAGTTAAGAGGAAAGTTCGCAACGGAAAATAACAATAATTAAAGTGATTCAAGTGTGGCTAAAAGTAACTTTGAAGCATGTTATTACTCTTGCATCTCTGAATGTTGAGAATGAAGACTACAGGATGCTTTGAAAGAAGAGACGATAAATGCGCAAAACCACAGCATGCGAGAAGCAAGAACCGTGAGGGACGATGCAGATTTCATACCCTATTCAGCTCAACGAGATGTAAATGTTAGATGTTGTTTTATACATGTATATGCGTATAATAAATGTTTTAGATCAGGAGGATAGCTGTAAGCTATCGGCTGCTTTTGATTCCTCATCTCTTTTTTGCGTCTCGAAAAGTGAAGTTTTATCTCGCGTATCTTCCTCCATGAATCTAAATTTGGCACGATTATCACGATCATCGATCGATCGAACGTACACTATTCTGCGAGTATCTCTTCGATGAGTCAGTTGTACAGAGAATATTTGACACAATTTTATCCTCATACGCGCGAGAATTCAGTTTCTTTTGTAAAATAATATTTTCAATATTTCATGCACATCCGAATCTACCCGAATCTCCAATGTTCCGACTCACGCTTCACTTTTTCAGCTTCGCAAAAGCTCAAAGTTTCTCTACGATTGAGCGACTCGTTCTCTCGTTACGGCGCGGCATATCGTACTTCTATTGTAATATTTCCGTTTAACGCGCGCGCGCGCGCGCGCGCGCGCGCGCGTGAGTATGAATCCGCTCGTCCCATATTCACCGTAAAGCCCATGTTCGATATGCGTAGTCTACCATTGTCGATCTGGCAGTTGTTGCCGGAGTACCGGGCGGAACAGTGACACTCGTAGCGGTCCTGCCGCGAAACACATTTACCATGCATCATGCATGGTTCGTGATGGCAAAAGTCCGCGGTGGAGACCGTAGCGGCTGACCCCGTGCCACCCGCAAGGCCGTTTGCGCCACCTGAAAATGTTTCGTTAGACGACTGCCGTGCGATATTCCCCCTCCCTCCCCCCTCCCCCCGTCTCTCTCTCTCTGTCTCTCTCTCTCTCTCTCTCTCTCTCTCTCTCTCTCTCTCTCTCTCTCTCTCTCTCTCTCTCTCTCTCTCTCTCTCTCTCTCTCTCTCTCTCTGTTTTTTTCTTCCTATATGGAGATACACACGTGCGTACTGTAAGCGTTTTAGGAACAAACGGTGTGTGCGTGCTTGTGCGTTTCATCCGAGAAAGAAACGAAAAAAAGAAAAAAAAAAAGGAAAGAGGAAGAAAAAAGAGACTGTGCACTGCTACTTTGGCACACCAACTCGCAATCTAACACTACAAGGTAAACAGAAACAATGGGCCACTCTAACGACCCGTTATCCGATCGTTGAACGAAAAATAAACTCTCGACTTTGCATATAGGACTCGAAAGGGGATACACCACAATTCGTCTGCGAGAGTGTTCGCTGCAGTCAGCTGTGTGCTTGATATCGATTTATCTCTTATTGCAACGTGTTCAATCTCACACCCCCCGTGTTCTGACTCAGACTCAGACTCGTCTACGAATATTCTGCTTATTTATTCGTGGAGACTGCGATATATCGATCTACCGTAGCGCCGCATAGCGATTATCCGATGTATCCTGTGACGTGTCACAGAACTCCACAGACTTCACGACAAGTCAATGAGCCAAAAATATGAGACGTAATTCCCCGCGTAATTTTTAAAAGAATTACACGGATCGCGCGATTCTTACATCCTTTGGTGTCTGATGAGCAGGGTCCGAAAACGGCGCCGCTGTTGATGCTATCGTTGAAGAGAATGCTAGGTCCTTGCAAGATGCATCCCTTGAATCTGTCGCCAACTATGAGCGAACTATTCACGTCGTAGTCGGGAAGTGTCAGGATGGCGTAGTTATAAGTCGCATTTGCAACTACCTAAACAGAAACAGCCCTCTGTGTCTTTTGCATTTTGATAAAAAAAGTTTCCGCGACAACAGTTTTGCCCACTTGTTTGTCTAATGCCCTAACCTGCGTGTGTCCTGCGGCATTTAGCGTGAGATTGCCTAGCCTGAAGAACAGGTTAACATTGTGCCAGACGTTGTTCAACAACCTGGCGCTCAGTTTGGCCCTGTATCTCTGTTGATCGACTACAGCCGAGAAGAGGAGACCGTCGGTCGTCACTTCCAGACTGATCGAATCGTTGTCCTTGTACCTTTGCTGGAACAACTTGCCAGGATCGCATGTACGGAAGCTAAGACCGCTGTGCCGATGGACGGACACGAAGGAACTTAGCTTGAGAAAGGCGGACCCGTTGAAGTAAGCCTCGCGATGATGCTCCTCGTAATTCTTGTACCTGTGATCCTGCGGTGCACCTTGCGCGACCGCCAACAGAGTGGCCAGAACTGCAATGGCAAAAGCATTACTTTTATTTATTTTTTTGTAACGATATGCGAAATAAGAAGTTGCAATGTTGCCCTTCCTTATAATACTCGATAAAATTTTCCAACATCGTCGAAAATCCAAAATAAATGAGATATATTTCTACAATGTGCGTTTTCTCTCGGAAATTGATCGACAAGTCACGCGACAAGCCAAGCGACAGCGGCGACAGTCTCACTCTCCGGAACGAGTTCGGTTCTTGGCTTTCAAGAGAGAAAATGCGCCCCACGAGAGAAAATTCGCGACTTATTACCGGGAGCTACGTATATACACGCAGAGTTACATAATGCTTCTCTCCGAGCGCGCGTCATTATTATCGCCAAGGATGAACTTGTAAGATTTCAGCTGCAGAAACGCGCGCAGACGCGCGCACGCTCTTACGCGTGAGAAAGAGCGCGTCGCGCTCCTACTCATTCATGCGACTGGTACGTGAAGAAGCCTTGGGGCCCAGCCAACCTGGTCTCGTTCTCGCAAGCTTACTCGCAGTCGTGCGTCTTACCACGATGCTTCATTATATCCAACATCCCTAGATTATCCCTGGATTATATGATGAAGTCGATATCACATATAATTGCGAAAATTCTTCTTAGTCAAATAGTTGTACGTTGTTTTACGTTGCTCTCGACGTTAATCTCTGAGGGGGGGGGGGGGCTCTTACGAATCTCGAATTGCACAAAGGAATCCCAGGAATGTTCGATTGGGATCGGGAGAGGCAGAGATATATGTCAGATGTCAGATGTCAACAGGTGTTATTTATTGTGGCCAATGTGTGGCCAATCTGTGCTCTCGCGCAAGGTACACAAAGAGAAAATTCCTTCTTGCCGAATCGTCCGCCGCGCTACAGAAGCATGATCATCGCCCAACTTGCGAAACGACGGCAGTCAGTAGAATCGCCGCCGGTCGACTCGCCACACTCGCGCTCGTACAAGCGCGCGCGACCTTACGCGCGCGGCTGTGCCGCGACGTGTAGATGGGAGTCATGCATTATTTATTGGCCTCCATCGATCTTACCGCGGCGCGGATGCACTCGGTCGACGCTCGACGCGGTCGCGGTGACGATCGCGGACCCAACCGGACTTTCCCGTAGGATCGAAGATACGAAAGTGGCGAAGGATCCCACCAATTTTCGTGTGAGCGAAGATTTGTCACAGCAAGAGAAGTAACATGATCTCATACGGATATCCGGATCTTCTTCGTTAGGAGACGCGAGTCCGAGTCGAGCGTCTTTTGTTCTCTTCCACTCGCGAGAGGAAGAGCCGCTTCCGGTGCTTCCGGTGCGTCATCGAAAGCCGGTCAGCTTGCATAGATCACCGTTTGTGTCTCGTACGTGTATCTACCGTGGCTTTCGGTTCGTGTGTCAATTTGATATGCGACACACGCATGCGTCTGAGTTCTTCGGACGCAGACACGCGTCGTGTGTGCGTTTACCGCGGAAAAAAAACACGATATGAATCCTAATGCCATCCAAACATAAAGATTCGCAAGATCAAACGCGCAAGATGTCTCGTGAGCGCCGATGAAAGGAGGATGTTTCCTCTTTCCTTGTGGACTGTTAAAAATTATGCAAAAATGCCGAACAAAATAGAAAAGTCAAACAATTCGTATCAGAGAAAGAGAGAGGGGGAGAGAGAGAGAGAGAGAGAGAGAGAGAGAGAGAGAGAGAGAGAGAGGGGGGGGAGAGAGAGGGGGGGAGAGAGAGAGAGAGAGAGAGAGAGAGAGAGAGAGAGAGAGAGAGAGAGAGAGAGAGAGAGAGAGAGAGAGAGAGAGAGAGAGAGAGAGAGAGAGAGAGAGAGTATATATTGCGTAAAGGGAAACGAGCTTTGTTCCTTCTTCGAAGCGTGACGTTTCTTTTTTCATGAGGTGTGCCGCGCGCTGCCAGCCAGTTGAGTACTCCTCCACCGAGAGACACTCCGGGCCGAGCATCAAAATGGGCCAAAGTGTTCGGCTCACAAATGTGTGCATGTGTACGAGCGATCTACAGGAAATAAATTCTCAGCAATTGTGTGTAATAATTTTTCACTGAGAATTATGCTTGGTCAGCTTGGCCATCGGCTAAAATAACATTAGCCCATTGTCTAATGGGAGTTGGAAGCTAAATGATTAATCTTTAGTCTTTAGCCTCGTTACACATTATTTTTGCTCGATGTGACCCCAGTCCGATGAACGATAGAAAGTCACGGAAATGGCGACGTTTCGAGCGCTAGTCCCAGGTCGCTGCAGGGGACCGAAAATACGCGTCGATCCTCGGTCGGATCTAACTGCAATGACGAGTCGCGGGACAATTTCGCGAATCGTCGTTAGAAAGCATAACGGCTTGATACGTTATTCGTAAGGATACCGCGCATTCTCGCGGGACATTTGCGAGACATCCATGTCCGCAACTGACTGCGAAAGTATGCCAGTTTAAGGACGTTGAGAAAAATGTGGCTGCGGTGAAAATACGACCCGCATATCGCACAATTTGCTGCTAAATTCCTCCCGCGCTCTTCAGTTTTCCTCAATCCGTCAATTCCATCCGGTATTACACTTTACCCAGTAAATAACCAACAAATTGATAGAACGAACGAATCAATCTCGTAACGTATCCCATATACCGTATACTTACTTTCGAAGATGTTCCAAAAAGAGTATAACAATGTTCTACATTTCTTATCGCAATTACGCGATGAATATATGTGCGCGCGCGCACGCGTGTATGTTTACGAATACGCGTGTGTGTGGATATTTTTATATCGAAATAATATAAAAGTCAACAGAGATGCACTCGCGCTTCTATTCTCCAAACTTGCTCAAACGTTTGCGTTTTTAAATAAATTATATGTATACATTTTATATATATATATATATATATGTATACATATATATATATATATATGTATACATACATATATATATATATATGTATAATATTACACACACGCATAAAGATGCATCATGATGCATGATGTCAACGAGCTACGTGTCTCGATCAAAAGTATGTTTCACTGAGAAACAATGTGTTCTACCTTGCTAGCATAATGCACAATCCACTTTCTCTCCGAATAAACGGCTCGTCTCTCCCTTACCCTCTAATCCCTCTATCAATTAGATGCAAAGCAAAGTGAATAGAGATTGCTGATTGCGATTCGCCGAATACAATTCGCGATAACAATGAGAATCGGGGGAAATACGTACGGATTAAATAACGTAATGCGCTTTGTGAATTTTTATCCGATGGCTGAACAAATCGCGTAGGATATATCTCCATATCTAGCGAGCCTAATAATCAGCCTAGTTATAGAAACTAGAGAGATACAAGATGTACACTATATTCGTGCGAGAAGTAGCGTTCCTCGAGCGATGCAACAAAGAGAATTACGCCTGGCTCGACCAAGGCGTGGCGACCATGGTTGAGTCATATAACTAGGCTCTCGTAGTCGTGAATACCGAGAATACGCGGCGAATCGTGGAAAAGACTAAACTAAAAATCACAGGGACCGATTTTCAACGATCTTGCCTTTTTTATATCTTTCTGCCCAGCCTTTCGGCTGCTTCTCTTTGCTGCACCAAGATGACGTCGCGTCGCGCCTAACATATAATAATGAAAATGCAAAGACCAACAGAATATTGGCAAAGATGTGGAACAAGAGCCAGTTAATCTCTTAAAGATATATCATCCTTCCGATATAAAATATCGAAAATGATTTCTCGCGGATTATTTCTGAACCGAACAAAGTCCTTCCAAGTCGAGCGAAATCATCATTCATTCGCTCAGCAACGAATGAATTGAGTTTTAGGGCGAAATAGAGGAGGAGAGGAAACAAAAGTACAGACAGAGTGCAACTGGGGACAAAAGTATCGCGCGCGCACGGCTGGCCGAGTTGGTTCGCTGCAGTTCGCTTTCGGTTCACTGACACGTGGGAATTCAACGATCGTGCTATGCATTGCGTCTATAAACGGCGGACGCACGCGCGTAATAAGAAGTTTCTTTGTCTATTGCGAAATGTGGCCACTGAGTCAGCCAGCATAGCGAGGCAAACTATTCCCAGGTGACAGAAATAGTTTCCCATTTATGTTACGAGCCTTCTTTCTGTCTCGACTTGTCGCAAGTAACGTCGCAATTATTGTCTGCCCTTTGTCTGCTGTTGCTGTTGCTACTGCTTGCGCAATAATCTTATCAAATTATTGCCACTCGTTTGGAATTATTATTCCAATTCTTATCCCCCTCTAAAATACTCCACTATTTTATTACTGTCAATTGTGTTTCCATAGAGCCGTAGATTATTAGACTTAAAAATTGCTACATCTCGATCATCGCCTCTTCGTTGAATTATCGATTTTTTCCTAAGGTATGGGCAACGACTGGAATTTCTTTTAAACCGACCATTAGGATTGACCAGAAAAAAAAAAAAGGAAAGAAAATGAAGAAGAGAATTGGTAATGATATCCGCTAGAGACCATGGCAGCAGGTTCTTGCCAGGATAACGGGGCATTGCGCCGATAACAATCTCGACGATCTTATCACCGAATAGGAAAAGGCAGGTTCGTTAATTATACAACAAGACTTCTCTCGAATAAATGATTTCGTTTAATATTCTTACCTTTCGCATCAATAAAATTCTTACGTAATACAAATAGAAAAAGGAAAGTTTCTTTCTTTTCTCGCTTATGCTCCTTACTAGCGGCCGTTTACTTTATCGTGCGATGACACACGTGAGGTATCTTCCATTATTCGAAATGTATACGCCCGACGTGTGCGTGGAAACGAAAGTTAGAGAAACGTTAGCTGCTAAAGCATCAGTAGGAATGCAATGTCCGAAAGAAGAAACGCTCAGGTAGACGTTACGCATTGTCGTTCGGATCCAGCGGACTTTTCCACTGCGGCCCGACAATGGCTACTTTTCTCGAGCCGAGTCCAGATTTCCATTCAGAAAAATTCGTGCACCTTTCGAAAGTAAAAGGTAGATAATTTAGCAAAAACAGA